TTTAACTGGGATGATTAGTTGATTATATTCAAATGTTGTGTTCTATTATGTCTTGATATTTATATTTTTCTACTGGTCTGTATAGTTTTATAATTTATGCTCTCCAGACTATACACAGTAGTTTATTCATGTCGTGTATTTGTCAGTTTTCAGTCCCATGGAAATACAGTGATATCTCCGTTAGCCAGAACAATTGGTGCAAAGCACTTCCGGGAATGAGAGATTTCCAGGTAACGAGACAACTCTCTTAAAGCCGGAAAAAAATCCCCCATCCCCAGAATTTTCCTGGTAACGGTAAAGTGTTCTCGGAAGTTACAGAAATTGCCCATTACATCATCTCTCGAACCCGGAAAAATATCCCTCATTCTCGGAATTTTCTGGAATTTTCCAGGTACCGGATAACAGAAAATTGTTCTCAGAATTTCCAGAAAATGTGCCTGATATTCATCTCTCAAACCCGGAAAAAAACTGGCCCATCCCAGGAATTTTCCAGAATTTTCCGGGTAGAAATTGTGCCCCTTGGAAAATTTCAATTCCGGCTATCGGAGAGTTCCGTGTTTGAGGGATTCCGGCTATCGGAGATATTACTACACAAATACACACAAAAGTAGTTCTATGTTCAATGTACACAACCCAGATGCTATACCATGAACAAAATGTGAGTAAAAAGCTAGATAATTGCTTGACTAAGCACTTAGTCACTATTGATACCGAATTTCAGCTTTCTAGCTCAAAAAGTGTCTGAGATATCTCCCTGACGAGCAAACAAGTAAGGAAGCAAGCAACAAAGGAAATGAACCTTTACATATTCCTCACTCACATGTTTCATGTGGTCATGAGACAAAATAAATGAAGGGGCCAGCAGTCTACAATTACCCTTCAGCAATAAGCTGTTTTCCACAATATCCCTTACAAGTTACTGCCAGCCCCTGAACCCAAGAGGTCCAAAAATCCCCAATGTATAGTACTGTACATTGTAAAAATTGTAGGGTATAAAAAAGGTATTATAGGCAAATAAGGATATATTTACCACAAATACCCACTTGATATGTAAAATGCCCTTATTTCGACCTTCTAGGGTATATTGCTGTCGATAATACCCTTTATGTTGCAATTGGTTCTTACATTAGCTCTTGCTGATAATTGTTTTTCTTTCTCTTTCGATATATTCGATTCATTTTTTTGTGAAATGTTTACAATATGACAGTGAGTGTGTACCAAAACATCAATAACCATAAATTTTCCTTTAAATGCCAGATACCACTTCCATCCAACCATGAGTTTTGATGACACAACAGACTGTTTTGTAAATTACTCTAATGTTATTATGGATTGAAAATTTATTCTGATTAATTACATGAGCTACTTGGGTCATCTTAGCAGAATATTATCGTGATGATGTATGGCGAAGAGAAGATGAAGTATGATGTTAGTTATTTAATGACAACATGTAATAACCAATCTTAATGATCATGTTTAACCTAAGTAACTGCACTGTACATGAGGAGGAGGGGAGAAAATTAAGTGATATGGGATGATTTTTAAAAACCCTCAGTTTCAAATATGCGGAGCGAGCCAATGAACAATGGGTTACACACTGACTTCTTATTCACAGCCAATCAGTGCAACACTGAGCGGTGCTAAGCCGGTCACATGAACGCAGGACCCAGTTCGTTGTTTTTGGAGCTACTGTATTTTTGCATAAAAAAAAATATATTAAGTGACAATGAGTTCATCAAAGGGTGACTGTTGGTGGTAGGAATGCAAGAAAGAGAAGCCATGATGTGTCTATGGAAAATGACTGCCAGAACGTAATGTCATAAGTTATTGCCAAACAACTGGGAGTCTCTTTAGTCTCGCACCATGTCATATACTCCGTTGTTTTTGGTGATACTACATATAATGTTTGTGGTATTTTACTGGTTTTTACAGCATCCACGATATAACTGAAAGATAAGTGAGGACTGTCTTGACGGTAAAGGGGGAAAAGCGGCATACAAATACTAATGTGAGGAAAATCAGTGCAAAGTTATTTTTAAAGGGGTTCTCTACACCTTGATATACCCCTATGCAACTTAAGGATTTTAAATAATTTTATATTTATATACCCTTTTGTAGAGTAAGGGTTTAGAGAATAATGCACACCCTTTATAGAGTAAGGGTCAAGAGAATGATATACCCTTTCTATCTGCAAGGATTTATTAGTAATCATATACACTTGAAAGGGTTTTTCATTAGGGTCATTCTCAAAACCCTTTTCATAGCCCTTTTTACAGTGTAGGAATTTTCTTAGTGTCTAGTACACAGTTTTACTCTACTACCAAATTGTACATCAATTGTTATGGTACTATTTTGGGCACAATAATGAAATATTTATAGTCCTTTATTTTCCCGACTACAGAACTATTGTCTCTTGCCCCTTTTCTTTCCTTGTTTCTCTCTCACTTTTGATGTTTCTCTCTATTTCACACTTTTCTTATATATACAGTAATTCATTGTCTCTTTTATTCAGTGTTTCTACTCTATTCTATGTCTAATGTCCATCATTTCTTATACAGTGAGTTCTGCTATAACGCGTGTTTTGATAACGCGAATTTGCTCTAACGCGAATTTGCTCTAACGCGATTTATGAATAGAGGAACGATATTTGTATAACGCGAACGCTTGTTTGCTGTAACAAGATTTTTGCTTACTATTTCTCCAATTTTGTGGTATTAACTGTGAATATGGTAAAGAAGAATAATGTATCTCCAAGAAGCGTTCTGGTGATCGAATTCCCGGTGATGATCGTAAAAGAAAGGATATAACACTTGAAGAGAAGCTCGATGTTATCAACCTCAAAATCACCCTTCTCCCCCATCAATTTATATTCATATTTTTTCAAGGTTAAGTGTTACATTTACTGTATGATTTCATTATTAGATATGAATGGAACATTTATTTAGACTGTGCTATCCTTTGTGTTAGGTTAACTACTAATTTTTTTTCGATTTCGAGTAGTAATCTGCACCTAACCCTATTTTCTCCATAAGCCCTGTTATTTCTATTACGCGATTTTCTATAACACGATATTTTTCAAGAACACAACTATCGCATTATAGCAGAACTGACTGTATTCCCTGGCTTCTTTCTTTTTCTCTTTTTTCTAATTACATGTATTTCTTTATTGCGTCTAATCTACTATATCTTTTCACATTATATATATATATATATATATATATATATATATATATATATATATATATATATATATATATATATATATATATATATATATATATATATATATATATATATATATATATATATATATATATATATATATATATATATATATATATATATATATATATATATATATATATATATATATATATACACAAATCAAAATAGCTATTTCATATACTGTATGTATATGAAGTAGCATCAGTAGCATAAAGTAACCTATGTACCAAGATATATTGTAGTATAAAGTAGCATCAGTAACAAAACAGATAACATAAAGTAGCATAAAGTAACTTAAGTAGCTTAAACTAATACAGTATACTGTACAATAGAATAATATAGCACCAAATAACAAAAAGTAACATTAAGTAGCGAAAAGTTGCAGCTACTAGCATAAAATAATATCAAGTAGCATAACTAAGATCAAGTTTTGTATTGCACCAAATAGTATAAAATTATATTAGGTAACATAAAATAACAATAGTAGCATAAGATAATAACAGGTAAAGTAGCATAAGTAACACTACAGTAAGCTGGCTAATGTAACATCATATAGTTTAAATCACTCTTAAGTAGCATAAGTAGCATCAAGAAGCATAAAGTAACTTCATGTAACTTCAAACAGTAATAAAAAAATATACCCATAATTGTATCAAATAGCACAAAGTATGATAAAATAATAAACTATAACATCAATGGTATAAAGTAATATAAACAGCCTTGTGTAGCTTTACGTAGCAAAAAAGTAACATCAAATAGCATAAAGTAACATCAAATAGCATAAAGTAACAAAGTAGTAAGTAAATAAACGAAACATTCAATAGCATAGAGTAACAGTAATTACAGTAGCACTTCCGAGCATCGATAATTATAAGATCGTATCTTCTTGTAAAACCTTTTTAATGCTATGGAACGCCTGATGAAATTTCTTTAGTTATAGTAAACTTTAGGCCCAGGATAACCAAGAGAAATTCTATGGTCCAGTAAATGTAATACCGTGATAAACTCTATGGCCTAATAAAGTTAATACCATGATAAACTCTATGGCTTAATAAACTTAATACAATGATAAATTCTATGGCTTGGTCAACTTACTACCATGATGTACTCTATGGTCTAATTATAGTGTTATGGTACACATATGCAGGAGAATGTTATCATAATCCTGATAATAAACAAATAAATATTAAACCAAACTTACAGGGTCACTGAAATAACCATTAAAGTCAGTGACAACAGTATTGAATTAATAGTTCAGAAACTGTATCAGTAAATTGAGGAAATGCACAACACTTGGAATTATTAATGTACCACTTTATTTATATGAATAAAAGTTGAAAATGTATACCAATAAACAAATGAGTGTTGTATAAGCATGAACTAGTATTTGATGTTAGTAAAAGTTATTTATGTGTAAGTATACCCTTAAATCATCCTTTGGGAGCACCTGTAGTCCCCTGTAGATGTATTCTTAAGATGTCTATACTGACGTCATGTATTATCACTATAATTACCCTAACAGTTTACCTGCAGTATCCAGGTAAGTTAACTTCTATACTATTCTATGGAAGTGGAAGCTCATAAGATTTCTAATTTGTTAACCAATTAAGATGTAACAACAATTTAATTTAGTTGTCAAAAGTTTTATAAGCTCTTTCTATTCATTAATAAAAATACTAATATCTGAGTTTATAGAACCACCTCTACAGGTACACATAATCTTAATAAGTGTTGCCATTTCTCAGAAAATGTTGCTAACTTGATCTTATCCACAGTTAAAAAACTCAGCCGCCAATGTGCTGAGAGAGACGTGGCTCATCTACAAGCACACCAAGCTAGTGAAGAAGGTGAACCACGGTAGAGTCCGCACTCACCAGCGCAAGTTCCTCCTCGCTATTTACGCGTACGTCCTCACATCCCCTCCTGTTTTTCTAGTCCTCTTTATTTACTAGTTTATTGTATTTTCATATATTATCCCATTTTTAATCTCAGCTTGTGTTTTCTCATTATTAGTTTGGTTGTTCTCATGAGGTATGGATGTTGAAATAGCAAACAAAATTCAAGTTGAATTTATTTGGTGAAAATTTTCAGAAATCTTCGTTGTTAAAAAAATCAATGATCATTGTATCTTTTCAATATAGCTTACAGTCTCTTATATTTAATTCTTCAACATTCAGAGGAATTAATAACATGAGCTATAAAATCAAATTTACCCAAAATTCCCAGTCTTTGAGATTTTAAATATCTAACTTCAATATTTTACCATTTCCCGTATTTTCTTTTCTCAAACTTATTCATTTACTCTTTCAAATTTCAAAGGTGGAAGAATGGCTCTATAGTAATATGAAGCTTTGGTTTCATTTACAAGAAGTAAATTTAACCTCTATCTGAGCACCTCTATCCTACGGAGAATTGCTTCTATGCCTCACACTCTCTCTCCCAACCAGCTCTTGTATCTGCCCTCATAGCTCCTTGAGCCTCTCTCGTGTTAACTTCTACTGGATTAAATGATTTGTTTAAGTCACCTAACCTCTCCCCAAAATGGATATTAGCCTCTCCAAACTGACTAACATGCTTCCGGAATAGCCTAAGCTGCCCTTGGGATTTGTTCTCCTTTATTCACACTCCTGGATATCTGCCATTAATGTTCTAACCACTGACTCTAACATAGCTATCTCACTTTATATCTCTCCCACACACTTTGCTATAAATTTTCCTAATATGGCCACAAGAAAACCTATCCTTATATTCATTACCCAGCTCTAGCTCCAGCCTTTCCTTCGAACCTAACACTAACCACCTGCCCGCTGCTGTCCCGAGTTCCATTACTGTATTCAAGTGCTTCACCCACGTACTGTACCTACACAGTATAAGGTTCCCTTTCTTACCCTAATACCTTCTAATGTCTTGGGCCTTTCTATAACTCCAAGTTCACTATTCACAATGGGGTCTGCACTGTTTTTCAAGTCCACAGGTTCTATCTTTTGGGGTTCATCTATATTTCCAACGGCTTCAGCTATTTCTTTCGTTGGAGACATATTTCTTTGTGGTTCTGTAATACACAATATGAGTAGTATGGGGGCATATAACATCCTAACTTCTATTTTGAATACAATGAACTTTCCCAAAGCTTCACTTAACTCTGCTACCATTTGTATGAAACGATATCTGTGGGTCAGCCTTCCATTGTTCCACGACTATTTTAACATCCACACCTTATGCAGGATCAGAAATGTGAAGTTTATACACAAATATCAGTGTTGATATATATGATGTATATAGGTCACAAGTACACAGTCTCATACAAGATCATACGAATTTTATTATAGACTAGAAGTGGATGAAAATGTACTTGACACTTACTGTAATAAGATTATAATAGTGAAATCAATTTGTTTCCAATCATTTTGAACACAAATATGTAATGACCAATTGTTATGATAGCCTTATTATATACCAATGAATGCTGGACTATTTACTGACAAATGTTTAGGCAGCCATGATTTGTAGACACCAAAATATGTTAACTGACAATTATCATATGCCATTGGTCATTGTTAGAAGAAGAAATTAGACCAAATTATAAAAAAAGGTAATAGTGGATATCAATGACCATATATTCATGTTTATTCTCGGGTATCTGTTTTATACTTTTTCCCAATCCCTTATGTTTCATCCTAACCTGACATACATTCACCTCCCACAGGCTGAGGAAGGTGAAGATGGACCAGAGGAAGCTGATGGACAATGCAAACACCATCACTGACATGGCCAAGGTGAACTTTTTTCTTTGTGTTAGATGATTAATCACTCACACAGGGAGGTGCTTCGATGGTAAATTTGGTGAATTTATAATTAAAAAGCAAAAGAAAAATTAATGGTTTGAGGCCTTTAATGGGGGAGGCTTCCATCCAATAGCTGGTTAATTCAGGTTAATGGCGACGATGATGATGGTGATGGTGGTAATTTTTAGCGGTCATTTTGATTTTCAAACTATGTCATCACTGTTAAAAACTTGTCACTCAACAGGATCAGCCTTAGACATTAAATGTCTTAATTAATAAGGCATATAATTTCATTAAAAAGAAATAAGGATTATGTTCTTATCCAAATCTCATGTGCACCTGTGATATTATGTGTGCCTGACAAAATGTGCACATGTGGCATCATGTGTACTTGTGACATTATGTGCACTTGTGAAATCATGTGCACTTATGGCCTGTGATGTCATGTGCCTATGTCATCATGTGTATCTGTGGCATCATGTATGCTTGTGACATCATGTGCACCTATGTAATAATGTCAACCTTTAACATCATGTGCATCTGTTACATGTGTATTTGTGGTATTATATGCACCCATCACATCAGGCATTCCTGTACCATTACAGTATGTACATGTGTCATCATGTGCAACTGTTGCATCATGTATACCCACTGATATCATGTGGACCTGCTGTATTATGTGCATTTGTTATGCCATGTACAGTATCAGACCGAAGTTTGTGATACAGTCAAGCTGGAGGGTGCAAAGTCCGTCCTATCCTTACCCAGGCAGCAGGTCTCTGTCCAGCCATCGTCCCCAACACATAAACAATCACCCAAGCAGTTCAACAAACGAGCTCTGATACTTCCATTTCTCAATAAGGACTTGGAAAGGATGTCATTTATCCAATCATTGTTTGACATAATAGGTTAGACCATTATTAGATAATCATGACATTTTTTGCAATACAGAAGAGACATTGGAGAGAGTATATCTTAGTTGCTGAGGTTTGCAATGATTAATATCAGATTCCTCCAAGCTTTATTTTCCCTCATAATGGTAAAGAGAATGTTTTATCATCCTCTGTGAAAATGGTCTTATCATAGGGTCTACCGTGATGTAATGGATGACATAATGGGAGTATAGTTGACATATGAGTGACCTTGATTAATATAAAAGTGAATCACAACTAGAAGCAGAGCACAACATTATTGATTAGGGTTGGATGGAAAAATAAGGTCAAACCACCATGACCATATTTTATTATTAGTTATATTCATATAGCTAACCATAAATGTTACCGAGCTAATGTTACATAGACTCAATATATTTATAAATATTTACAGTTAAAAAAAAGTAAAACAATGATTCAGTCAGTAGTCAGTCTAGCTGCCCTTCTTTTCAATGCCGGCCTGTAGCTGTATCATGTGCTCCTGTAACGTCTTGTGTCCTGTATCATGTGCTCCTGTGACATCTTGTGTCCTGTATCATGTGCTCCTGTGACATCTTGTGTCCTGTGTCATGTGCTCCTGTGACATCTTGTGTCCTGTATCATGTGCACCTGTGACATCTTGTCCTGTATCATGTGCTCCTGTATCATGTGCTCCTGTAACGTCTTGTGTCCTGTATCATGTGCTCCTGTGACATCTTGTGTCCTGTATCATGTGCTCCTGTGACATCTTGTGTCCTGTGTCATGTGCTCCTGTGACATCTTGTGTCCTGTATCATGTGCACCTGTAGCCTTGTGTGCACTGATGGCATCATATCTACCTGTGGCATCATTTGTACCTATGGCGTGCACCTGTAAAACCATCCGTAACTGTGATGTCCACCTGTGGCATTACGTGATATTGCATGTTCCTGTGACATCATGTACACTTTTGGTCCACATGAAGCCATGATGGTTAAAAACAAAGTATATTTGTAGTCATCAAGTTATCAAGGAGTATCACTATTATCTCTGCCCTGATTGGTGTTGTTCTCTCGCTCATGGGTATAGTCATATGTAGGTTGGTTATTAAGATAGCATGACTTTATCTTTTGCCTAGGCATATTCATATCTATTCTGATACAGTACTGATCTATCAGGTGATTCTCTCACTCTTTGTGATACTAATATACTATATCTACTCAGAGATTGAATAAGTCTCTCTCTCTCTCTCTTTCTCTGTCAGTCTTATTTATCCAAAACTTTATTTATTTGATGATTTAAATTATTCAGTCTTATAGGCACATACATTCACACTTTGTTTCTACTGTATCCTGTGTCATCCATCATGAACGAGCTCAAATGCACTATTCCATATCCCCTCACAGATATAAAACCGCGAGTACAGTTTAGGCTGGGAAAACTCTGTAAGAATGAGTTATCTAGATTTAACTTTCCCATAGATTCAAAGCACTGATGTCTTATTTTTCATTAATGTATTAATACACCTATAAACACCGCTCAGATTATGATTTTGTGCAAATTTATTATTGATAATATCTGTTCTGTCCCTCAGATATTAAAATATGTAGGAGTGTTATTATATTGTTTATGTGTTGGAGTTCCTTGACAATGTCCCCAGACAGTCTAGTGCCTCACAGAACCCTGTAGAAGTACCCCTACAGTGTGTATCACTCACACTCCACACAGGCAGTATTTTATGTTCCTCTAACACTATCATACCTCCACAGACTCAGAACACCGTGTATGAGCTCGTGTCGGATATGAGCGGGCGTCAGGATGTGTTGGACGATAGGGTCAGCTCGCTGGAGGACCGCCTTACCTCCATCCAGGAGTCCTTGGATGCCATCCCAGACGTCTTGGCACGGTGTCTGCAAAAGCACCAGGAGCTCCTGGACCAGCGGCGCCTCACCGGCCCATCCTCCAACTCCCTCCATCCTGACATGGCGGCACGACCCGGTGGATACCCGGTCCTCTCAGCGAGTCAGTCTCCGAGAAGTTCGAGTGTCTGGCAACAACAACAACAACAACAGCAACAACAGCCTCTGCCACAAGCCAGTGCGCCGCCGCTGTTCCCACGGACGGGTCTAAGTCCAACGTTGCCAGCGCTTACGGCGCCAGCGACTGCTGTAAATAGCATGTCAGGGGAGCGATCGCCCCCCGCGCCAGGGTCGCTGAGCGCACAGTCGCTGCCCAAATCGGAGGCGTGAAGTCAAGCCGTCCAACTGCGGGCAACAGCAGAAGTGAGAGTAGCAACCGAAGTTGTTTGTAGGCTACTGCTGATGTCCGCATCCTACTCGCTTCAATACTCGCCACTACACCATCATCACCTCTACCAAAACCTTTCCACTCCTATGGTCCACCACATATATCGCTTATTATGGGTCCTCAGTGGCTGCTATGTGGCCTGCTCACCCGCCACCGCCTCCTCCCATTCATGTCTGCAACCTCTTCTCTCCTCCCATCACTCACTGCATCATGTGATATTAGACAAGACAAATCATGGTGGCAGGACAGCTGAAGAGTTCTGTTCACCCTCTACAGTTCATGACACTTTTCTCCAGTGGCTCACTGAACTCCTAGCAAAGGTCGACGCCTATTGTCGGGGGACTACTGTTCTTACAGGATAACTGAACTCGTTATAGAGTGAAGACTTTTCCTACCTATACTCTCGCTGTATCCGTCTGTACGTTGCTAGGATGTTGCAACACTTCGAGAATGACAAACATCACTGCTGAGGGTAACATTGCTCTTGGGCCAAAATTAACACACCCTAACAGCTTTAATTCCATTAATATGGTTGTAACAGGATTTTTAACGGAGGTCGGCGATGCTTGTGAGGGTGTCAGCGGTCCCTGGTGGATGTTAACACCCTCAGGAGAAAGTCGATTGTTGTAAAGGAAATATAACATTCCTTCATGAAGGTTTAGACTCACAAATGGACAGCATCTCTCCCTCATTTGTAGAAGACATGCTCTAGATGGAGACTAACGTCCCTGGTGGACGTAACAGCTTCGTGGGATGTGTCTCATAGTCCTTGATGAGTCGTCTTTTGCTGGAAGAACACACCTGACGACATAGAAGTCTTGGAGCAGATAAGATCACTTATAGGGAAGATGATCCCAGCGCATAATGTTTTGTGTAAGACAACTTGAGCATAATAACTCTTTTAGAGTGATGAGCATATTCAGTACCACAATTCTTTCTCACAAGGTGCATGTCTACAACACTTCTGGGTTAATGTTCACGATGCTTCACGGTGTAACTCCTCGACGTTCATGAGTGTTTGTCTATGATACTCCCTGTAGTTTGTCTTCGCCATCCCATGATGTACGTCCAAGACACTGTTAGGTGTATGTAGACTCTACCCCAGGAATATATAAATTTTACACCCTGGTGTATGTGTTTGACACATCTGGGTACATACTTATATGCGACACTTGACTGTTCATCCTAGACACTTCCAGGAATGTCGGGGAGATACTCTCTGAAGATATAAATGCCTACATGATAGCTAATGCTCATAGACTTAAATAAGGATGGCTTATCCATCAAGCGGAATTTGACAGATCACTACCTACAAGATGTGATGCATAGTGATGGTTCTAAATATGAAGAAGAACACTCTTTGGTGGATGCTGATGATTTCTTGGGTTAAAAAAAATGCGCCAGAGAGAATGAAATATAATTTAAAAATGCAAGGGATAATCCTCAGACGTGTGCGTCATCTCGTGAATGAAACAATATGGACTAACCAGAGTGGAGAGAATGCCTCCTGATAATAGACAGCACCTTCTGGGGGAGGAAGGACAGGACAGCCCCCTGGCGATGGACATGCTCCCTGGCGGGGCTGCCCAAGCCAGTAACACTGCTACATATCAGGCCAGAACCTATCACAGGCTCTGGTGCTTTATCCAAGCCCCTCCCACCCTCCTCCACCCTAACTACCTTGATCCTCCCCCCTCCCCCCACACATACCCAGTGTCCAGGTGCTTCTATGGCCTATATACTGCTCTCATGAACGATAAATCAGTGAGTGATTAATATTTTGACACAGATTACGATGGTTATAGTATCTCGAACATTAAAAGTGTTTTATATATATATATATATATATATATATATATATATATATATATATATATATATATATATATATATATATATATATATATATATATATATATATATATATATATATATATATATCACAATACTGTCACGTACACAATAAAAGTCTTTAAAGATCGATAAGTCAGATAGCGATGAGCCACATGTTGTATGTTAGCTATGGCTTGTATCTGTGTACATGCTTCTACCTACAAGAGCGAGTGGTCGACACACACTCCTTACTATGGTGGGTTTAGTACAAATAAGTCCTTCATTCATATATATAATATATATACATATATATAAACATATAAAACAAATATTTCCTAACCTCTAGTATACAAATTACAGAAGCAGGACAGTAGACTTTAAAATCCAAATAAAAATACAAGAAAAACTGTGCAAACAAAAAGCTGATTATATTTCTGTCAGGGATTTTGAGCCACATTAGTTAACTGGGAAATGTAGCTGTTGTGAAGAATGAGGTCTGGCCAAAACTCGAGCTATTTCTCTTCGACTGATAACTTTCTTTTCATTCGTTCCACGCCACGACTGAAGTGCTTTGCTTTTCTGAAATCCACACTGTTAAATCTTTATAAATGATGTGTATTTGAATACACTTTATAATAATTACGCCTTTACTAGCTATATCTAAAGAAAATAACCAAATATATCTTGAGCTGGGGTAGATATGAGTAGAAGCAATTTTTTGCAAAGTAGATTTTCAACCAATTAGAAAATTGGGAAGGGGTTGACAAGGTTCCTGTGCCTTTAGTGTTGACCATAATTAAGTCATTTCATTAAAACGGATAAAATCCCTCATTGTACTGTACTTAAAAGTGAACATCTAATGAGAAAAATTTATGTTCATTACACACACATATATATATATATATATATATATATATATATATATATATATATATATATATATATATATATATATATATATATATATATATATATATATATATATATATATATATATATATATATATATATATATATATATATATATATATATATATATATATATATATATATATATATATATATATATATATATATATACACAGTGATCTCCGTTAACGAACTCAATCCATTCCAGAAGGTCGTTCGTTAACCGAAAAGTTCGTTAACCGAAACCATTGTTTCAATGGGTTTTTGGGTAATTGGTTCCAGCTCACCTAAAATTTCCTAAATTCAACAAAAATGGTAGAAAAGTTCACTTACTTTGAGGTGTGTATGTAGAAGGCTCCTGGATGATGATGATGATGATGATGGATTTAGAATGGGGGTGGAGGAGAAGGAAGAAGAGAAGGTATTGGGGTGGAAGAGAAGTCACCCCATGGCCTATTTCACCCATAAAATTTTAGCTCTCTTGGTGTAATTCAAGATTATTTTCTTTAAATCAACACTGCACTGCATTATATATTGTCAATATGTAAAATATAATTCAAAATGACCAATAATTTGCTTGGAAACACAGAAAAAAAGCATTTAGTTGAAGAGAGTCTCAAGCAAGATGTTACCTCCAGTGAAAACAGAGAGAGACTAACTCCTGTTTGCTGTGTTAAGAGGCTGGATGCCGCGCATTAAACTAGTCACTTTACCTTCAATTATGTTCAATAATTGTTAAAATGACTAAAAAATTTATTAAACTTTTAAAATTATTGAATAGTATAAACTTCTTGATATTTACTAAAATAGTAAGGAATTTAAGCCCTAGAACCGATTAATGTATTGGCGGACTGATACTAAAGCTGGTTGCCCGGTCAGTGCAAGCGAAAACATGTTGAGGTCGGTTCGTAAGAAATTCGTTAACCGAATTTTTGTTCGTTAACCGAATTGAAGATCCTCATGGAAGGCAGTTCGTTAACCGAAATTTCGTTAACCGAGGCGTTCGTTAAACGAGGGGTCACTGTATATATATATATATATATATATATATATATATATATATATATATATATATATATATATATATATATATATATATATATATATATATATAAGTGTGTGTATGACATTAAAGTTTTTATAGCACTGGGGTGAATTTTTGCTTTTACAAGTATTTTGCACCTGGGAATATATACTTTTACTGTCGTTAGGGCATTATATGACTTCTCTGATGCTTATCAGTCCACAGTATTCTATACGATAATTATATTATAGAATCAAAGTTTTTTGCCTATGTATTTGCAGTTAGGGACGCTGTCCAACACGGAGGGTCATAACTATACATTGTTATTTATTTTCATGAAAAATATAAAGTTAAAGGGAAAAAACTATATACGTGTGTGAAAGTCCACTATCTGTTTCTGATGATCATTGAAAGTGTAACCATTGCGTACTATATAAGTTTACTTGTTACTATTGTTAAGTACTAGTTTTATATAAGAAGAGAAACACATGGTTTTCTATACCGACGGGTGTCGCAGGCTTGTTTTCTATATACATACATATATATAAGTATATATATATATATTCCGGTGGTGCCAGATTGTTCGTCTGTATATCTCTGATATACACCACCTTTTTGCGCTTATTTTATAGATCTGGCAACGCTGATCCTCCCCAGAGTCAGGCCTGTGTGCTCGTCGGCAAACTGGGATGTTGTATGGTTTTATCACTTGACTTTAGCCCACTCTGTTACAAAATATGATGACCCTGCAGCACAGCTCATGACACGCTCACCGCTACTCAACCAAGAGAAGTTTTTTCTTAATTCGTCTGTGATATGATTTGATAAATTTCGTAAGATTAATTTCCTCTGTACAACTGATTATACAGTATTTATTTTTGTAGGTGAATATCTTACTAAATGAAATTATTTATCATGACTTAAGTTCTTATTTTTAGTAATCTATCATAAAAAATATGAAATGAATAACTCTCAAGGATTTTATTGCTCTTTTGATGACACCTCAGATCTTTTATTTCAGTATATTCACTGTTTATCACTTAGTCTATCTGTAATTTTTTCAACTATTCGTCGTAATGGCTACCTGTCTAAAAGTTATTCCTTCAACGATCAGTTTGGTTGTGTATGAATATCTATCTTATTTATGTACATATATTTCTTTATCAAAATTTATGTCTATTTACCAAATAATTTGGTCTTCGAACATAGCCATATAGATTTCTTGGTGATTATATATGATATTTACATTATATCATACTTTTGGGAAACACTTCTCGTTGCATCACTTAATTTAAAATCTACTTATGTGATTTATATTTTTTTACGTAGCTTATCAAGAAAGTTCACAAGTCACTGTGCTCTCAAACTTAATTCAGAACTAGATGATTAATTTCTTGAAACATTTACTGTAGTATCATGTATATTGCTCCAGTTGTTTTGATTTCAAATCATTGCATTATTTTCATCAGTGGGGGTTAATACAAATGGTTGTACTAATATGTATTTTGGCCACTGTGTGTGCTAAGATATATTACCTTAATCATTTACGTATATTCGTGAACACCAAAATTATCATTAGTAATAACTTTTGACCTATTCAAAAGCGCTATACATGTCCATCGTTTCAATTATTTCAAATACCTCTGGAGGACTGTGGCATATAATTCTTAAATACAATAAAATTAATATAGATTTACAACACTGCACTTCACTGCGGCAAGTGTTCCATCAGCTGGTTGCTCGTGTCATCCTGTGTTCTGAGACTGACGTCACTTTACAGCAGTCGGAGACCGACACAGCTGAGACCTGACGCCAATGGCAAATATATGTCTCCTTTTGTATACACAAGTTTCTTTTATACCCCCTACCTATACCCTAGTGAACAGATAGCAATTGAAGGAGAAATTGTATATACTGTACTGTACTGTACTTGTATAATAGAAAATGATGGCCAATAATGGCCCATACACTCATAATTTTCAGAAGTCAAGTAAAGAATAATCTAGTCTTCAATAATCACCGAACTCCTATTGAGGGTGTGAGTGTAATCCTGACCGGCAACACATTACTTCAGGCTACGCAATAATTGAATCAACAAAAAACATAAATTTATAAAGGATATATTATACACCCACATGTTCACTAACAACAAATATGAAATAACTACACCCAGTAGTTTATATTTTCATCACTCTGTTATAGTAAGACAGAAAACTTCACACCTGCTGCAATTACAGTAATATCTCCCTTAGCCGGAATCCCTCAAACCCGGAACTGTCCGATAGCCGGAATTGAAATTTTCTTGGGAAATCATTCCCAAAGCCGGAATTTTCCGGAAAATTCCGGCCTTGGGAACAATTTTCCGAGGGGTACATTTTCCGGAAAATTCTGAAAAATTTTTCCTGATACCCGGAAAATTCTGGAAAATTCTGGGGATGGGGTGTTTTTTTCCGTGGAATTCCGAGAAAATTTTTCCGTTACCCTGAAAATTCCGCGGATGAGGGATATTTTTTCGGGTTCGAGAGATGATGTAATGGGCAATTTCTGGAATTTCAAAGAACAATTTTCCGTTACCCGGAAACTTCCGGGAAATTCCGGGGATGAGATATTTTTCTCCAGCCCTGAGAGTCGACTAGTTACCCAGAAATCTCTCATTCCCGGAAGTGCTCTGCACCAATAGCTCCGGCTAACAGGAATATCACTGTACCTTCATTGCCATCGTAACTTGCAGTCAGATCTTTCTTTAGAAAATTATCATAAATCTTATTTTAGAGTTAGATAGAACTAATTTTGTCATTTTGGCTTACCGTTAGGCGAAAAAATCTATTAAACGTCAGTCAACCCTGGGGATGAACTGAACTTTAGGTCTCCCTGGGGATCACCTGAACTGTAGGCACCCCTGGGGATCAACTGAACTTTAGGTATCCCCTGAGTATCAACCGAGCTATACTGTAGGCATCCCTGGGTATCAACTGAAATTTAGGTACCCCTGGGGATCAATTGAACTATAGGCACCCCTGGGGATCAACCAACTTTAGACACCCCTGGGGATCAACTGAACTATAGGCACCCCTGGGGATCAACCAACTTTAGACACTCCTGGGGATCAACTGAACTTTAGGCTCCCTCTGGGAAAATTTTGGCCATGTTTACAAAGAATCATGGTCATTTGTAAACAAAGTAGTTTAGATTTTCTTTCTTAGTTACCTTTGTTACAAGCTCTGTGAGACAATCTAATAGCAGGCATCTCCTGATGAAGTCAGGCATCCGCTGGTGACCTTAGGCATCCCCTGGTTAACTCACGTATCCCCTAGTGAACTCAGGTATCCCATGGGGAACACAGGTATCCCCTGGTGAAATCAGGCATCCCCTGGTGAACTTGTATGGTCTTTGTGGGTCCCGCCGCTCATGAAAGGGTCTCTCAGGGCGCCACCACTACTGTGAGGGTCCCTTGGGGCGCCAATGCTCCTGGGATGGTCCCTGGGGGCACCGCCGCCCTTGAGAGGGTCCCTTGGAAGGTCCCTGGGAGCACCCCAGAGTGGGCCTATGGTTGCGCCACTCACCCCTGGGAGGGCATCTGGGGGCGCTGTCGCCCCTGTGTGGGAACCTGGGAACGCCATCATCCGTGGGGGCGCCACCACCCCTGGGAGGGCCCCTTGGGGCGTCTCCGCCTCAGAGTGCCCCCAGGGACACCACCACTCCTGAAAAGGTCCCTGGGGGCGCTGCCTTCCCAGAAAATGTCCCTTGGGGCACCGCTGCCCTTGGGAGGGTCCCTGCAAGAGTACCTGGGAGCGCTGCTGTCCCTTGAGGCGCCACCGCTTTCGGGGGGGTTCCTGGGGGTGCTGGCGTACCTTGGAAGGTCCCTTGGGGCATCGCCTCCTCTGGGATGCGTGCTGGGGGCGGTGCCGCCCCTGGGAGGATAACGGGGGCACCGTCGCCCCTGGGAAGGTCTCTGTAGACGCCACTGCATGCTTAGAGGGTCATGGGGGCGCCGCCGTCCCTTGGAGAGCCCCTGGGAGCGCCAGACCCTTAGGGCCCCTGGATGCAGTAGTGTTTTGCGCTATTTAAAACTCTGGAAGATGCAATGTTAAATAAATACACCGCTCATCACATTTGCAGTATTATCACTTTCTGAAGAAGGTAACGGAGAATAATATCCAACAGGAAAACATAAGTTGCGGCGTTGTGCTGACTGACTGCTCTCTTCTCCTATTGGCTGTAATTTGGTAGGTGAAAAGAATAGAACACCAATCATAATTCAGTAAGGGACTGCTGGAAGTATGTAATATATATGACACAACGAACAAGCATGCAATGGGTCCCCCTGGAAACCCTTGGTAGGGTCCCTGTGGGAGTGTGTGGGGCACCGACTCTGGGAGGGATCCTGGGGGCTCTGCCGTCCCTGGGAAGGTCCTTGTGCCCCTTGGAGGGTCCCAGAGAAGGTCACTTGGGGCGCCACTGTTCCTAGGAGTGTCCCTTGGGGTGCCACCGCCTCTGGAAGGGTCCCTATGGGTGTCGCCGCCACTAAGTGGGCGTCTGCAGGCGCTTCCGCCCCTGAGTGGGACCCTGGGAATGCCACCACCCCGAAGAGGGCCCTAGAAGTGCCACCACCCCTGGGGGCATCGCACGCCCCTGAAAGAGCCCCTGGGGGCGCCGACGCTTCTGGGAGGGTTACTGGGGGTGATGCTATATCTGGGAAGGCCCCTAGTGGCGCCGCCGCTCCTAGGAGGGTCCTTGGGGGCGCCCCCGTTCCTGTGAAGGTCCCTCGGGGCAGCGCCCTCCCAGGAAGGGTCCCTGGACGCGCTACCGTCCCTGGGAGATTCCTTGGGGGCGCTGCCGCCTCAGGGGACCAGTCGCACTCCTAGGGGACTAGGGGCTCTCCCTGTAGTCCAGGGGCCCTTCAGGGGTCCAGGGGCCCTTCAGGGGTCCAGGGGAAAACTCAGAATGCCAGAGGCCCATAGGACCTCCCAGAATCCCAAAAGCCCTCCCATGGGCCCTGACGGGGAGACAGGGGCCCTCCCAGGAGCTTAGACGCATTCAGGGGCACTCCCAGGGACCCAAAGCCACTTCCAGGGTCCTTCCCAGGGCCTCGAGTCAAGGGGCTCTCACAGAGGCACAGGGGCGCTCCTGGGGACCCAGGGACACACTCAGGGACCCTCCCAGGGACCCAGAAATCTTCCCAGAGGCCCAGGGACAATCACAGGAACCCAGAGGCCCCTCTAAGAGCCCAGGGGCCTTCCCAGGCGCTCAGGGGCACTCACAGAGCCCCATTGGCACTCCCAGAGGCACTACCAGGGGTCCAAGAGCCACCACAAGGGCGTAGGAGCCCTTGCATGGGCCCAGGCGCCCTTTCAAAGTCCTTCCTAGGGACCCAGGTGCCCTCCCAGGGACCCAGGTGCCCCCCAGGGGCTCAGTTGTCCACCAGCAGCCGACCCATGGCCCGCAGGGGCTCTCCCAGGGCCCAGTGGCCCTCCCAGGGGCCTAATTGCTTTTCCAGGGGAACAAGGGCCCTTCCAGGGTCCCAGGGGCATTCCCGGGGCCCTTCCAAGATCCTAGGAGCCTTCCCAGGGGCCCTACCAGGGTCATTAAGATCTCTCAGGGGCACTTTTAGGGGCCATCACAGGGATCCAGTCGCCCTCCCATGATACCAGAAGCACTCCCAGGGGTCCAGAGGCCATCCCAAGGGCCCAGGGGCACTCTCAGCGGCCCAGGGGCACTCTCAGGGGCCCAGAGGCACTTTCAGCGGCCCAACGGCCCTCCCAGGGGCCTAAAAGACATCACCGAGGCCCAGGGGGCATCTCAGGGGACCTGGGCTACTCTCAGGGGCGCAGGGGCACTCCCAAGGGCTCTCCCAGGGACCCATAGGCATTCCCAGGGGCCCAGAGGCACTCAAAGGGACCCCTAGGTCCCAGGCGCACTTCCACGGGACCAGGGGCTCTCCCTGTGGTCCAAGGGCCCTCTAGGGGCCCAGAGGAACTCCAACCAGTCCAGGAGCCCTTACAGAGGCCCAAGGGCTCAGGAGCACTCCGAGGGGGTCTAATAATACTCCTAGGGACCTAGGGGCCTTCCCAGGGGATCATGGGCCCTCCCCAGGTTCCAGGAGTATTACTCGGGGCCCTTTCAAGATCCTAGGGGCCTTCCCAGGGACCCTACCAGGGTTCCCGGGCTCTACTAGGGGCCCAAAGACACTCCTAGAGGCCCTCATAGGGACCCCAGGGGTCCAGGTGCCATTCCAGAGGCCCAAAAAACTCCTAGGGGCCCATGGGTACTCCCAGGGACCCAGCGGTCCTCCCAGGGGCCCAAAAGACATCACCAAGGCCAAGGGGGCATCCCAAGGGACCATGGGTACTCCAAGGGGCCCAGGGTCCATTTCAGGGGCCCGGGGCATTTCCAGGGACCCAAAGGCACTCAAAAGGGCCCCCAGAGGCCCACTGAGCATCCCAGGGGACCATGAGTTCTCCCAGGGGCCCAGGAGTCCACCCAGGGTCCCAAGCGCCCTCCCATGATCTCAGGGGCATTCACAGGGGTCCAAAGACCATCCCAGGGGTTCAGGAGCCCTCTCAGGGGCCTAAGGGCTTTCCGAAGGGCCCAGGGGCCTAAGGGCTTTCCGAAGGGCCCAGGGGCCTTCACAGAGGCCAAGGGCTACTTCTAATGGCACTCCCAGGAGCCCAAGGGCCCTACCAGAATCCTAAAAGCTCTACCTTGGGCCATGACAGACACACAGGAGCCCTAAGACTGGGGCTCAGCAGCACTCAGGTGCCCTCCCAGGGATACAAAGGCACTCCCAGGGGCCTTCCCAGGACCTCGGGTCAAGGGGCTCTCACATAGGGACAGGGGCGCTTCGGGGGCTCAGGGGCACAATCAGGGACCCTTCCAGGAGCCCAGGGGCCTTCCCAGGCACCCAGTGGCACTTCCAGAGGCACGACCAGGAGTCCAGAAGCCCCCCAAGGGCGTAGGAGCCCTCGCATGGACCTAGGCGCCCTTTCAGGGGCCCTCCTAGGGGCCCTAGTGCCATCCTAGAGGCCCTGGTGCCCTTTCAGGCGCCCAGGGGCCCAATGGCCTTCCTAGGGGCCTAGTGGTTTTCACAGGGGCCCAGGGCCCTCCCAGGAGCCGCCCCATGGCCCCAGTGGCCCTTCCAGGAGCCTAGGAGCCTTCCCAGGGGCCCAGGCGCACTTTTAGGATCCCTCAGAGGGATCCAGGTGCCCTCCCATGATAGCCATAAGCACTCCCAGGGGTCCAGAGGCCATTCCAGGGGCCCAGCGGCTCTCCCAGGGGCCCAAAAGACATCACCGATGCCCAAGGGGCATCCCAGGGTACTAGGGGTACTCCCAGGGACATAGGGGCACTCCAAAGGGCTCTCCTAGGGGTCAAAAGGCCCAGGGACATTCCCAGGGGCCCAAGGGTACTCAAAAGGCCTACTTGGCGCCCAGGCACACTCCCAAGGGCCCAGGGAAACACTCAGCAGTTCCGGGGCCCTCACAGAGACTCAGGGGCTCATGAGCAATCCCAGGGGCCCAATGGCCCTCCTAGGGACCTAGGGGTTTTCTCAGGGGCCCATGGGCCCTCCCGGGGTCCCATGGGAATTCTCAGGGTCCCCAGGGGCCCATGGGCCATCCCAGGGTCCCAGGGGAATTCTCAGGTGCCCCAGCGGCCCATGGGCCATCCTAGGGTCCCAGGGGAATTCTCAGGTTCCCAAGGGTACCTTTTTTAGTATTATTCACCAATAAAATAAATATAGAAGCACAACCGACTACCTGGACGTAGGGAGAATATGGTGAAGTTTACCTCCAAGATTACCATAAGGTATTGGCCGGTAGGGTTAAGACCGTGATAAGTAAAGCCAAGAGGAATAATGAGCTGAAGATAGCAAGGGAGGCTAATTCAAACCCCAAGGGATTCTATCAAATGTATCAAACTAAAACCTGAGAAAAGATTGGACCAATACAGTCAGATACCGGCGAGCTAACTGATAACCACAGAGAAATGAGCAATAACCTGAATAAATATTTTTCAACAGTTTTCATCACCGAAAATTTAAACATGATACCCGAAGCTCCGACTCTATATATAGATAGTGAAGAAAATAAATTAAGCGAGATAGTAGTGACTAGTAACGATGTTAGTAAGCAAATGAGATAGTTGCCCAAGTACTAAAGGAATGTAAGGAAGAGCTTAGTATGCCCTTAGCAAAGTTGTTTAACATGTCCTTAAAAACAGGTGTAGTACCAGAATCCTGGAGAATAGCGAATGTAATACCGATTTTCAAGAAGAGAGATAGATCAGTATCCTCTAACTACCGTCCAATCAGTCTAACATCAATTGTAGGCAAATTACTGGAAGCAATCATTTCAAACTCTATTCGAAATCACCTGGAGAAGAACAAGTTGATCAATGATTCCCAACATGGCTTCACAAGCGGGCGTTCATGTCTAGCTAATCTATCAACATTCTTTACATCAGTTTTCGAATCAGTGGACGAGGGGCACAATTATGATGTGGTATATCTCGACTTTAGCAAAGCCTTCGACAGAGTCCCCCTCGAAAGACTAATAAGAAAAGTGGAGGCTAATGGCATTAAAGGTGATATTCTAAAATGGGCGTGGTTACAAGACAGAAAACAGCGAGTGAGCATTAACGGCACTAAATCCCATTGGAGCAACGTCACTAGTGGAGTTACGCAAGGCTCAGTACCTGGACCATTATTATTTATTACATACATAAACGACATAGATATCGGCATAGACAGCAAAATAAGTAAATTTGCTGATGACACTAAAATAGGACGTGCAATTAAATCTGACGAGGACTCTGCAAAACTACAGGAAGACCTAAACAAATTTTTCGAAGGGTCTGAAAAATGGCAGATGAAATTCAATGTGGACAAATGTAAAGTACTCAGTATAGGGGATGTAAACAGGGAAACCAGATACCAGATGAACAACGATCATTTTGAGAAATCCGACTGCGAGAGAGATTTAGGAGTAATAATAAGTAGGAATCGTCAGCCAAGTAAACAATCTGTATTTGCTCGAAACTAAGCTAATTAAGTACTTGGGTTCATACAAAGGGGTGTTAGTTACAAAGCTAGTGAGGTCATCTTAAAACTATATCTTGCGCTTGTGAGACCTCACTTGGATTACGCAGTTCAATTCTGGTCACAGTATTACAAAATGGATATAGAATCCTTGGAAAGAATTCAGAGGAGAATGACAAGACTAATCCCGGGCATTAGGAACCTTGAGTACAGAGACTGGTTAAAGCATCTTAATTTGCACTCCCCCGAGAGACGTAGAGTGAGGGGCGACATGATCGAGGTGTATAAATGGAAGTCAGGGCTAAACAAAGGGGAAATTACAAAGGTACTCAAACTATCCAACCAGGAGCAAACTCGTAACAATGGTAATTAGACAAATTTAGATTTAGGCGCGAAATAGGTAAACATTGGTTTGAAAATAGAGTAGTGAACGACAGGAACAAGCTACCAAATATCACCATTAACTCGAATACGCTGGATAGCTTCAATCATATTTTGGATGGATATATGAGCAATAGGGGCTGGGTGTAAACGGGACTGCCCAGTATGGGCCAATAGGCCCGCTGCAGTTTCCTCCATTCTTATGTTCTTATGTTCTTATTCAGTAGGCGCCCCACTGGCCCACCGAGCTACTCGGGCAGCCCCTGGGGGGACTCGGGCAGCCCCTGGGGGAACTCGGGCAGCCCCCGAGGGAACTCAGGCAGCCCCCTGGGGAACTCCAGCAACCCTCGGGGAGACTCAGGCAGCCCCCGGGGGAACTCAGGCAGCCCCTGGGGGAACTCAGGCAGCCCCCGGGGGAACTTAGGCAGCCCCTGGGGGAACTCAGGCAGCCCCCGGGGGAACTCAGGCAGCCCCCGGGGGAACTCAGGCAGCACCCGGGGGAACTCAGGCAGCCCCTGGGGGAACTTAGGCAGCCCCCGGGGGAACTCAGGCAGCCCCTGGGGGAACTCAGGCAGCCCCCGGGGTGTGGTGTGGTGTGGTGTGGGGCGATGGTGGTGTGGTGTGGGGTGATGGTTGTGTGGTGTTGGGCGATGGTGGTGTGGTGTGATGGTGGTGTGCTTATGTGTTAAGCAGTTTTATTGTTCACCGATCTTTAAAATCTTAATCAATGGGATAATATTCAACATCCATACACATGGACGCTATCAAAACACACACCCACTCTACACACATACATAATCAAGCACTAATACTGAATAGAAATTTACGACTACTAAACGTATCCTTTGCCCAGAAACTATAAATTTAGAAGTCCAGAAACCCATGTTGCCTGTGATGTGGTGCACAGAAGAGGTCCTAAGACCCGTGTTAGGTCTAATGTGTGACAAAGTTGGAGCAGAGAGCTGTGTTTGTGTTAGGTGGAGTTATGATTCACCTGCTTCAGGTAGTGAGGAGAACACGGGAGCCTCCCCTTTAGTTAACGCCCGCCGGTCAACAAAACTTAGAGCTCTTGCCGGCGATGTCACACGCTGGAACACCTGTTGGTTGTCATGACAACCTCTCACCCGCCAAAGGCCAGGATCAACTCTGCCACGCCCGCCCGCGCCCTCCCTCATGCCACGCTCCTGTTTTTTTCCCACTAGCCACTCCCAAGTCTGCCTCTCTACTCGTCCGCACCTTCTTCACCACATCCACGCCCTCCCTCTCACCCTGCCTACGCAGTACTTCTTACGTTGCTTGTGTATTCCCCGTATATTTTTATTATAGATACAAATGCTACTTGCAGCATTCTAAGTCCTACAGAAATTGCCAGAGACATCTTCTGAGCAGTGAAATAAGGACAAAGAAACATAATATATAACCTTACACGTGACAAGCACGATAAACTATCTCGGGAATTAAAGTCTCAAGTGTCTTATTTAGATTACAACCATTTGCAGAATTTAGTAAGTACTACAAATTATAAACTGACTTCTAGAATTGAACTCGTCCAGTACCACAAACTTAGAAAACTAGGTTATGTTCACGACGGTAATCTCTCCCCTAATAAGGTGATTTTCAACTACTCAGATTTGTCCCTCTCTCAAGTAGAACAACAAGCTTTATCTAAAGGTCTGAAATATGCTTTTAATCCCCGCAAATTAGACTTTTTTTTAACCATTTCCTAGGTTTTGAGAGTCTTTTTAAGAAACTGTCTCCTCTTAGTTTATATGATCCAGTATCAAAAGGTTTGCATTATTTCATTAACTCTTTCCACCACTTAGCGTTTTGGTCCTATTATTCATACAACTCGTTCAGCACCAAACAAGCTCTTTCTAAGGAAGAATTTCTCGCACTTAAAAACTTAGCATCTAACGACAATATTATCATCACTAAGCCAGATAAGGGTAATGGGGTTGTTATACTCAATAAAACGTCCTACATTGAGAAAATGATGAATATACTTAACGACCGAACTAAATTTGCCCCCAACTCTAGACGATTTATTCAGGGTAATTCTTAAGTATGAGGACAAGATTAACAGATTTCTTCGTAAACTTAGAAAAAATAACGTCATTAATGACTCCTCTTTTTTAAAACTCTTTGTTAGCGGATCTAAACCAGGTATACTGTACGGTCTACCAAAGGTGCACAAGGATGAGTGTCCCTTATGCCCTATATTGTCTGCCCTTGGCACCTTCAACTATAATCTGTCTAAATTCCTCGTTCCCATATTGTCACCAATTACCTATAATCAATACTCTGTTAAAGACTCTTTTAGTTTTGTTAAGGAGCTAGCTAGCATCTCGTTCAACAACTGTGTTATGGCTAGCTTTGATATAGTCTCTATTTACCAACATCCCTCTTGCCGAAACTACTGTCATATGTACAGATGAACTGTTCTCAAATACTAATATAATTGATGGATTCAATGGACCACAATTTAAAGAATTTTTAAAATTAGCTGTAAATGACTGTTTGTTTTTATTTAATAACAAAGCTTATAAACACTGTGATGGTGTTGCTATGGGTTCACCTTTAGGTCCCATGTAGGCCAACGCTTTGCTCTGTCACCACGAGAAGCTTTGGCTAACCGAATGTCCCCCCCCCCCCTAATTTAAGCCTTTGTTCTATCGTCGGTATGTTGATGACCCTTTTTTAATTTTCAGATCACTTGATCACGTCCCTATGTTCCTAAATTATTTAATTTCGAAACATGGCAACATCAAATTTACTTGTGAATTGGAAAAGGAAAATATTCTTCCCTTCCTTGATGTTAATATCCACCGTCTTCATAATAGTTTCGAGACAGCCTTATACAGAAAACCAACTTTCACTGGTTTGAATTCAAAATTTTCATCTTTTATTCTTCTTAATTACAAACGTAATCTAGTACGTACTCTTACAACAGAGCCTTTAATATATGTTCTAGCTATTTCCACTTGGATATTGAACTAAAATACATAAAGGAACTACTCTTTAACAATGGTTTCCCTAAGAGATTTATAGACACTTATATTGGCAAAACCCTCAATAGGTTTTTTAGTCCCACACAGCCTCAAATCCACAGTCCCTAAATATTCTGTCTATTTCACCATCCCGTACACAGGCGCACTCAGTTTCACCCTTAGAAATAAACTTAAGAAGCTTTTCAATGAATTCTATCCACAAATTTCTCTGAGACTAATCTTTAAAACCCAGAGTTCAATTAAAAAATTCTTTACAATTAAAGACACCATACCCACACACCTGCAATCCTCAGTTGTTTATCAATTTACGTGTGCTAGCTGTAGGGCAGCATATATAGGTAAAACTAAGAGACATTTGATAACTCGCATCCATGAACACTTGGGCCGTTCCGTTTGAACAGGCCAGTTAATTACACAACCACCACATTCAGCTATTCGTAACCACGCCCACCAACATGACCACCCGTTTTCGCCGTCTGATTTCTCAGTTCTTGGCAGGAGCGACTGTGATACAGACCTCCTCATTATGGAGGCATTACACTAGTATAAAGCAAAGCCATCGCTTTGTGATATGGCCTCGAGTGAAGTGTTGTGTTTTCTCACTAAGGCTCGTCTGAATTAAGGTAATACCCCCCTGTATATTTTATTTCATACTTTTTATTCCTGATTTTAGCTGATTGTCTCTCGTCATTTTTGTCGGTTTTAAATTGGATTGCTCTTTTTTAAATTTGTAAAGTTTATCGAAGGTAAATTTACGTATAATATTATGTTTTTATTGTATATCACCTGTATTTTTTAAACTTTTTCAAAACTTTTGTGGTTTTAGGCTCTGATGATGGAAAATGATTATTTCCGAAACGTTAGCGATTAAAAGAAGCTCACATGGTCAAGATGTTTGTGTTTACCCTGGTTCTCCTCTTCGTTATTAAAGTAATATTGACGAGATATACTATAGGATTTAGGTACACACCTGGAATTCATTCATGTTGTGAAGTTTTATAAGGATTTCGTCATCGTTTATCATTATGTATCCTACATGAATATAAAAGCATTTCAGACAAGTCTGTAGACAGTAAGGTAGGATTATGAAAGCACAAACAGGTATACGAGTAGAGTGGTGTTGACAAAAGAGAGGATGTATGTATGCGCGTGTGTGTGTTTAATAATAATAATAATAAACGGTTTATTAATAGAGTTGCAGCCGGTGGCTGAAAATATATAAACTTACATTTGATTTAGACATAATGATATGCGTTGAATACATTTACAAGGCTGTACAATACATAAATCAGGAGTTGTTTATTATATTAACAATAGATGGGATGGTGCTATTCTTATATCTCTCAGTGCGGCCTCTTATGGGCTGAATTTTTTTTGTAGTGGAGGACCCGCTCGAGGTGGGCGGGGGATTGCCAGTGGCAGGAGGTGGCGATGACGAGGAGGGTGCAGTAGTCCACTGCCAAACCTTGCCAGTGCTTGGTGGTGGAGTTCACTGAGGGATGGCATTTCCAGGGTGGGGAGAGCTTTGTTGTAGCCGGAGTAGTCTTCGCCGAGCATGATTCTGCAGGCCTTTTTCTGTACCTTCTCTAGCTGGCGTAGTTGGGTAGAGTTGAGAGAAGACGACCAGGCTGGTGAAGCATACGTTAGTTTGGGGAGAATAAAGGCGTTGAAGATAGTCCTCAGCTCTGGCGTGGGTGTTCCAAGTGACCTAAGTCGTCGTAGCACGTAGAGTCGGTACGAGGCTGCCTTGATTGTGTTTATGTATGTATGTATGCATGCATGTATGTATGTGTTTGTGTGTGTGTACGTGTGTTTACGTGTGTGTACGTGTGCTTATGTGTGTGTATGTGATGTAATGGTCAGCATCCTCGCCTCGCAAGCGAGGGCACTATACTCCACACAGGACACACTGAACTTAATCACAATCTACCCTCATGTGAACAAGGGACCATACAAAACAGCACTCGGCACCAAAGACGTACAAAAAGCTATCGACACAGTCTGACACGGCGGACTAAAATACAAAATATGCACAAACTTCAACCTCCCCAAATATCACAACAAACCCTATGCAACCACCCAACAGACAAACGTATGAGAATTAAATTCAAACACGAAAATTCTGATTACTTCCCACTGAACGCAGAAGTTCCACATGGCTCAGTCCTTTCCACAACACTATACTCTCTTTACACCAATGCCCTGCCTGATCCCATACATACTGACTCACTGACCATACAATACGCCGACGACGGAACACAACTAGTCAGACACGGAACAGCACTAGACTACCTTACAGAAAAAAACACGTAGGGAACTCTAACAGGTCAAAAGGTGGGAAGTCAAATGGCGTATACAAACAAACTTCAACATATCACAAATCGCCTAGTTTGGCACAAAATGACATCATCTTCGCCACATATACCCATACACCAATAAACCAACACCCAGTACTTACAAAACAGACAGAGTATTATGAGTGACATTTGACCACACCCTCACCATGAAACACCACATCATGAAGATACCAATAGCACAAAGGGCACTCACAGGCATACAAAGATTCAGAAGTGCAACGACAAAAACCAAAACACACTTATGCAAAACACCAATACGCCCCATGTTAACATACATACCTATCACACTCCAGTTAGTAGCACCAACCAACATTAAAAAACTACAAGTCATGGAAAATAAAGCACTGAATTGCCTACACAACACACACTGGAGATCCTTCACCACAAACGAACACCTACATGAACAGAGCAACAGTCCACCTCTCAACATCTAATGGAAACTATTAAGTGACAAAACAGATAGAATAGTTCCTAACCACACATCACAATGGCAGGAATACTTTGACGACATCATACTTCACCGCAGATACTCTATGTTTGTCTTTGGTACCCCCAAAATGTTCTATACTACTGAGGGTATACACAAACACTTGTTATCTTGAAAATAGGTTCTTATTCTCGTATGGGAGATATACAGAGGAACAATAGACAGAGCACTTCCACACCTGAAGGACTAGTGATCTCCACTCTTTGTATCACTCCGCGCTGGCATGTACAGATGCCAGCATTCACAAGCTGAATACATAAAATGTAAATATGATAATTCACATACATAACATGGTGCATAATAAATGGAAATATTACATAGGATTAATACATGTTCTGTAATACTTTACTATACATAATTAATAGAGTAATATAAGAATACACAGCTTAAGGTACTACTTCGTGTCCATATTATACAGATACAAAAACAGGAACCCCTCCATAATAAACAGACCCACTACACCTCCTCTAAAATAACACTCCTATATCTGCACTTGGGCCGTCTGAGAACAATCCTGGTACACCACATCAAGG